CACAATGACAAATTAGTTTTTTTTTTTCTGCCAGTCACAACGGTCGTTTAGAATTTCTCAGAATTATTTGCGGGCCCCCAGTGTTAATCATATCTCTGTTCGTCGGGGGTCAGATTTCTAGCATAAAGCAGAAGCCCTCAAGAACTCTAGCCCAAGTTCTCAGTTCTCTTCCCTACTACAGTCATACAGTCTCTTCTCCTACTTTAACCATACATTATAAACAAGGTCTGAACTTGCAAAACACATATTTGACATTGCTGGTCATCTAAAAAGGCTCAGTCACTGTCCCCAGCTGGGGCCAGCCAGAAGAAACACAGTGTCTGGAGTGTAGTGCAGGGGGCTTTTGCTGATGGGTATGAATATGAGATTTTCTTTCTCTCTTTTTTGGTGACACTCCAGCCATTAATGACTTTTCTATAACTCTGCTGTTAATAACATTAATTTAAATGTTCATATGTGAAATGTTCAGTTTGCTTTGGTTCATGTGCCCCTTTGGCTTACCTGAGTACAAATCTGAAGATTTTTTTAGACCTGATGAAACTATATGCTAACAAAAAGCTGTTTTTTAGCACTTAATTTATCAGGTCCAGTCTTTAGGACACACTGGATACTGTTTTTGTAACAAAACAACGATGTTCATTCAAGGTTAAACAGAACAAAACAAACAAAAATTGATCATTTTAGACCACTCAACACTGTTCTGTTTTTCCTTATCATACTATATTTAGTTGTTCGGCATGAATGGATTGACATTATAAATAAATAAGTAAATAAATAAGGCATGCCCAAAATAAAGCAGTCAGTTATTTTAGAGACATATGGACATGGTTCGGTTCAAGACTGTGGTAGAGACTTGTTTTGTCTCTTCAGTACAATTCAAGACAGAACCTCTCTGTTGACCTAAATATTTCATTCAGCTGAAAATGTGGCAGCAAATCTAAAGCAGAAAATATCAGACAGCATGTATGGGGTGACAAGAAAACTTTTTGATTAAGATAATGTAGAGATTTTATTCCAAGTACTTTTGGAGCATTTTTTGTTGGTCCAATCATTATGAAATTCACACAGTGTAGAGGACAGCTGCTGAGCTCAAATTATATAGAAAAAATGAAAATAAAAAAAAATGGGAAAAAAGAATGAAATTGTTTGTGTGGTTGGTTGGTTGTTGTTTTGTTTTTTTTGTTTTTTCATTTTCAGCTACAATATGTAAAACATATCTTTGGATACTATCATCAGATAACATCACCTGACTCTGAGAGACTGAGTGACCTTTGGTACTATTTGTATTAATGTAATACAGCTACACCTTTTTCCAGATCTAATGTGTATAGTGTGTAGATTTAAGTAGTGCACTTGCATGGTCTGGCCACTGGGTGGCACTATTACCTCAGCAGGATTTACTGGCAGCTCGACGGTGGGCAGTTGTGTTCTCTTCAGTACACAGTATCTGTGAGGTCGGATTGCACTGAATGGAATGCAGTTTGCTCTCCAGGGTACTGGTCAGCACGGACAGCATCTGTCCCCAAAATCAGGTTAATTAATGAACCCCTGGGACACCTGCCACTGATGTTTCTGTTTTCTAACTGCCAAGTAATTCAGAGGTAATTTATTGTTTATAGTGTCTATAAGGCTAAACAGACTGTAATTAAGAGATCTGTTTCAAATCAACACTGGCCAACACAATTTAGTCTCAGGAAACTAGCATTTGGCGAAAAGCCAGACAGTAGGCCAGCACTTATCTCGAGATTTTGGCAAACAACACATGATAGCCTATACGTCACCTCAGCACATTTCACTGAAGGTTAATGCTACAAAACAGAGTGTAAGGCATAGCACAAAAAAAGACGGTCTTTTGGGGGCAACATGACTGATCTTTTAAGAAAATCTTCTAATTTTCCATGATGCAGAACAGCAGTTACTTAACTTATACTCCAAAAATAAATCGTTGTATGAATTTAATTAATTATGCCACATTTCCATTCAGTCAAACAGAGCAGAGTCAGTTTACACACACTTTATTACCTCAGCATAAAGTTCAATTGTTGATGAAACAATTTACAAACATTTCAGAGGAATTTATTTGGTTTCACTGAGGTGGAATTTTCTTTGGATCAATACAAGCGGTTTTCATTCACTGCAAGCTCCATTTTATTTATGTCCGTTTCACATAATCCAGAGACTTAAAGACACCACAGTTCATTAATTCAGTATAGACACATTTTCAGTTTGTAAGTCATACAATCCCAATGGTTCATTTTTTAATTAGTAATGGTGGGCTGTCCATTGTTCATGGTGGTCTTTCTCCTTTTCTCTTTCCCCTGAATATAAGTCTCCACAATGGGAGTGTAAATTACTTTCTCCATTATTTGTGAAGACTTTCTTTTTCATTTCATTTATTTTCTTCAGTTATGTTGTGAACAGCTTTCTCTTTTGAGTCATCTCAGCACTAATGTAAGCAGTAATGCGGGCTAAAATCCTACTGAAATGTCTGATTAGTCTGAAAATGAAGGGCTATAAAAATCATACAGATGTGATTTTAACGAGTCATGAGTTTGTCATTTTTTAACTGTTGCCACATTGCACATTTTACCACTGGGGGGCTCTAAAATCCTAGAAATAACTTAAAGTTAAGTAAAAGTTAAGTAGCAGAGCCGGTGCCTGTCTCTGAGACATAAAGATCTTTTAAATAGTTGAAGATTTATTATGAGTTCACTGCATAGATTAACATCAGAAAACAAAAGCTCGTGATCGCTTTCAGTACCTTCAGTCTCAAATCATGTGAAGTATTTTCTACACTTCAGCTTCGCAAGAACTATACAAGCTACATTATTATTATTATTATTATTATTATAGTAGTTATACTATTAATAGTAGCAGTAGTAGTTATATTTGTAGCTCTGTGTTCCTATTAGAAGACATTTGTATTATGCTGGTAATTAAAATAACAAATACAATTGCTTTATTGTGATTTATAGAATTTAGTGAAAATAAAACAATTGGTATAACACTACCACCATCACACCACCACCAACAACAACAACAATAATAATAATAATAATGATAAGTGAGTCTTAAGACCACATTTCTGCATTTAAGTGAATGAATGAATGAATGAATGAATGAACGAACGAATGAAGTTTATTTATTAATTGTGTAAAGTGGTTTATTGTCTATTCTAACTCACGGTAAAGTTTTGTGAAGGTGCAGTGTGTGTGTGTGTGTGTGTGTGGTCTTTATTCTGTGTACTGTTTTTGTATCTCCAGCACCATCACCATCATCATTATTACCATTATCATCATCTTCATCATCATAATCTTCTTCTTCATCATCTTCCTCCTCTCGTCGTGTGCAGGAACGGAATCAGCTCTTGCGCTGCAGCGGCTTCTTCAGCGGAGACTGTGTGTTTGTCGTAACGTTAAGTTCTAATGCGTTCGTTCAATTCGCTACCGCTGAAATAAATGAATTAATGAATTAATTATTGAATTACATTAGTATCATAAGTTTAGGCCTGCGAACATCAAGTCAAAACAAAAATGTTTTTTAAATGTTGTTCTTCTGAGTGTAAGTCAGTAAAATATTTATTTTGTGTTTTCATGTATTTCTATAACATTACTGGTCGCATCGCAAACGTTTTCCTTTCTTTTTTTTTAAATCAGCAGTGTAGAGGAATTGTGAGCCGTTCAAATATTTTATTTCACACAGTGGACATAAAGCAATAAAGCAGATACATTTATTATTGTTTTTATTTGTTCATAAATGTTGCACTGTATATGTATATATATATATATATATATATATAACACTTATAAATATATATAATATATATAACAATAAGTAGTGGTTAAATCTTAGCGGAGGTGAGACGTTAACAGGTGTGTTAAATCATTGCTTTCATCATTTCATATTCTCATCTCACAAGTGTTCTTTACTACTACTGACTTTGTTGCAATAAAATTAAACTACCAGATGATTAAGCGCGTAAATTAAAATATAATAGAGTGTGTGTAATTATTGTCATATTTCCGATAATAAATGCTCCTTTCTGTGAATTTTAATTCATGCTCAAATGATTTCTGCCTTGTGTGCTTTTAAATTTGTACACGGTCATATTTCACTCCTCTATCCGCTCATAGAGCAGGAAGATCAGAGCTGAGTGAGCTCTCAGAGTACGATTATAATAATAATAATAATAATAATAATAATGTGGTGAAAGAAAACAAAAACACTAATAAGTGCTCAGACCGGTCATGTACTGCAGTGCTCAGCGCTCAGGCTCAGGTCGGGTGCTGAAGCGCGGAGAGAGTGAAGTTTGTAACCGCACATCTAATGTGATTTTACGCTTGTCGCCAGCGTGATGAGGAAGATGGGATCAGGAAGATGGGATCAGGGCGAATGGCCCGGAATCAAGTGAGAAGAGTTGTATAGCGAGAACATCGAGCACAGTTTCACACAGTCATTACAAACTTACAGCAATAAATCAATTACTTCGTTTGACCTCAACCGCTGGATCTCCAAAAATGCATATTCTTTATTTATGCGTTGTTCTAAATCGATTGTTCTTCCTCATTTGCGGGGTGTCATCCTCTTGAATTAGACAGAAATATAAACAGAAAGCTCGGCGTGCAGATATGAGCGCTGAAGATACACTCACTCTCCTTCCCTCACTTCATTAAAGACAATGAAACGGTCATACAGCGCGTTCGTATCGAGGTTAATGTACTTACATTGTCAGCGGTAATGGCTCATAAAGTAAACCTGTCTCTCTCTTTTTTTTGTTAAATCCTGAAACAGTGAAATTTCACTCCGCCTCACCGTCAGCGTCTCACTGAAGACGCGCCGACTGTTCGAGTGACGCGCATGCAAATGAGCCCGCTCTTCATCAGCCAATCACAGAGCGGGGACTCGTGGGCTGCGACCAATGGGAGACGGTCGCGCTCGGCCTTGTCCAATGGTAGGCGGTTATCAACGCGTCCACGGAGACAGTGAGAGAGAGTGAGAGAGAATGAGCGAAGCAGAAGGAAAGAAGAGCGAGAGAGAATCAGAAAAAGAGAGAGAGAGTTAAATTCTCGCAGTTAAAAACAGAGTAAAAGCACAGGCTGACCGGCTGACTCTCCTTCAGCGAGCGGAGAAAGGCGGACTGACCGGCGGATCTCGCCCGAGCCTCGGGCACAGACACTGGACTCTGAAACTTTCTCTCCAGCTCCATTTCTCTAGACTGCTCCTGCTTGGATAACCTCAACAAGTTCGGCCGTGTCGTGTAGCACCGCTCTCACCGGCTGCCTGTCACAACTTCGTGTACTTTTTAATTATTTATTTCTGTTCGTTTGTTTGTTTGTTTCCGTGCTCCCTCTGCGGCTCATGCTTACAAATGTTAGCTGTGGGGCAAATGGATGCTAACAGGCAGAGCGCTTTCGTGCTGAGCAGCACGCCGCTGGCCGCGCTGCACAACATGACCGAGATGAAGAGCTCGCTGTTCCCATACGCGCTGCAGAACCCGGCGGGCTTCAAGGCTCCGGCCTCGCTCTCCAGCCTGAACTCGCAGATCCCGCTGGGGACGCCGCACGGGATTAGCGACATCCTCGGCCGGCCCATCGGCGCGGCGGGACAGCTGCTCTCGGGCTTCCCCCGGATCGGCGGCCTGGCGGGCTCAGCGGGGATGTACCTGAGCCCTGCAGCCATGGCCAGATGCCCCAAACCCCTGGCAGAACTGCCCGGCCGCGCGCCCATATTCTGGCCTGGAGTGATGCAGGGCTCCCCGTGGAGGGACCCGAGAGTGCCCTGTCCAGGTACGTGTTTCTGTCCTTCCGCTTCATATTCTCAAAAACTTTTATTCATTTATTCTTGTCTTCTTTTTTGTTTTTTATTTTTATAGAAATCTATTTAGCGGTCTATAAATTACATTTACTAGAGGAAACTGTAGAACTAGACACGCAGAGGAAATCTGACTTCTAGAGAGAACTTTAGCCTAATTTGTAGTGAAACCATACAGCTGCTTATAGAGGAAACGAGGCCCACATTTTAATAACTGCTTCTAAACTACAACTACAGGACAAGTGTAAAACACCTCGTCTCTACTATTGAATGTAAATGTTATATCACTCTAATAAATTATAAAGCGAATAATACACAGTATGTATATTGGGAGCTCTGGGTTTATTCATGTGTTTTTTTGGAAATATTGGGCCTCGTTCACCATCCGTTCGTAAGAAGAAATTTCTTCTTAAAACCCACTTACACAGTTTTCACGAGGATTCTGAGAGTCACCAGTGTTTTCTTATTTGGGATTTGTTCTTATTTAAGAACAGAATCTACACACACTTAAGAGCACAAAGGTGCAACAGTTCTGCGCTTTAACACGTCGTGAATCTCGCGTAGACTTTTTCTTAGGACCTTTCTCAAAAACACATTTAAGAAAAAACTTAGGAAGTTACTGGTGAATGACCCCCAGTGGGTTTAAATCGTGCTAATGACAACATTTGGTTTAAAATGATGTTTGTACTGGGAGAATTTTGAATGTAAAGTCGACGTTCTCTGGCCATAGTTTTTATTAAACTTTATTAAAGTTTTTATTAAACTCTATATACATACTTTTTATTAGTTTTAATACATTTTAGATACATACTTTTTATTAGTTTTAATACATTTTAGATATATACTTTTTATTAGTTTTAATACATTTTAGATACATACTTTTTATTAGTTTTAATACATTTTAGATGTATACTTTTTATTAGTTTTAACACATTTTAGATACATACTTTTCATTAGTTTTTTACTGAACTCTATAAACGCCCTCCTTCTCTAAAATCGCATTCACTGAGGAAGAATTATTTCATCCCTTTCAGCCCAAACGAACTTATTGCTGGACAAAGACGGCAAGAAGAAACACTCCAGACCAACTTTCTCAGGACAGCAGATTTTCGCCCTGGAGAAAACTTTCGAGCAGACCAAATACCTGGCCGGTCCGGAGAGAGCGCGGCTCGCCTACTCACTGGGAATGACCGAGAGCCAAGTGAAGGTACACATCTCACTTTAAAGAGGAATAACGCTTGAATCCGCGCCATTAAAGCCTGACATGTGCAGTCTCAAAAGAAAAAAAAACAGGTTTTGGTGGTTATTAGTCTGGGTTAATTTAATAGAACCAGAGGACTGTGCGAGAATTTAAGATTTTACATCCAAGTGCTTTACCCCTGTATATAATATAAAATTAATATTACTATTATTGTTATTATTATTGTTGTTGTCATAGTTTTATTATTATTGTTATTACACTTTAAAAAGTGACGTGTTAAATAACAAAACACTAACTAAATGTTACACATTTGAACACTTTTTATGTCATATTTTCTGATTTAATAGTAACACAAAATGTGTCTCTCCAAATGAACACATTGATATGTCTGGTTAGAAACAGAATGTGTTGTTTTCACACATGTGCTTTAGGAGTGTATTATTATTATCATTATTAGCATTATTATTATTAACCAAAAGAACAGTAGTGTGTTGTTGAAGTGCTAAAACCATCAAAACAAAAACATTTAATTCTGTAATTTTACTACCATTGTTATTTTTTTTAGGTAATTTATTAACATCATCTCACTAATAACATCAGGTTTCAGCACTTCCAACAGCATGACAGAAATCCTCCTGCAGCTGTTTGCAGCTGTAAGTGAGGCTGAAGGTGCAGGTGCAGGTGTGTGACTGGGTTCTGCTCTTCTGTCCTCAGGTGTGGTTTCAGAACCGCAGGACCAAGTGGAGGAAGAAGCATGCAGCAGAAATGGCCACGGCCAAGAAGAAGCATGACTCTGAGACGGAGAAGATGAAGGAGAGCTCGGACAACGAGGACGATGATGAGTACAACAAACCTCTGGACCCCAATTCAGATGATGAAAAAATAACAAGACTGCTAAAAAAGCACAAGGCCTCGAGTGTTGCCCTTGTCAGCCCGTGCAGCAACAGCTCGGATGCATTGTGACTCAGAGCTCAGCAGAGACTTGAATCTCAGTCTGCGGCCTAAAACAGGGTGCACACTGCTCTCTTACAGTACAGCAGGGTGCACACTGCTCTCTTACAGTACAGCAAGGTGTACACTGCTCTCTTACAGTACAGCAGGGTATACACTGCTCTCCTACAGTACAGCAGGGTATACACTGATCTCCTACAGTGCAGCAGGGTATATACTGCTCCCCTACAGTACAGCAGGGTGTGCACTGCTCTTCTACAGTGCAGCAGGGTGCGCACTGCTTCCCTACAGTACAGCAGTGTGCGCACTGCTGTCATACAGTACAGCAGGGTGTGCACTGCTGTCTTACAGAACATCAGGGTGTGCACTGCTGTCTTACAGAACATCAGGGTGTGCACTGCTGTCTTACAGTGAAGCAGGGTGTACACTGCTCCCCTACAGTGCAGCAGGGTGTACACTGCTTCCCTACAGTACAGCAGGGTATGCGCTGCTCCCCTACAGTACAGCAGGGTGTACACTGCTCCCCTACAGTACAGCAGGGTGTGCACTGCTCTTCTACAGTGCAGCAGGGTGTACACTGCTTCCCTACAGTACAGCAGGGTATGCGCTGCTGTCTTACAGTACATCAGGGTGTACACTGCTCTCCTACAGTGAAGCAGGCTATACACTGCTCTCCTACAATACAGCAGGGTGCACACTGCTCTCCTACAGTGAAGCAGGGAGTTCACTGCACCTCTACAGTGCAGCAGGGTGTACACTGCTCTCCTACAGTGAAGCAGGGTGTACACTGCTCTCCTACAGTGAAGCAGGGTGTACACTGCTCTCCTACAGTGCAGCAGGGCATGCTTTGCTGTCCTGAAGCTAAAGTTAAGCAGGGTATGCGCTGTTTTCCTAAAGCAGAATGTGCACTGCTCTCTAAAGTAAAGCAGGGTATGCGCTGCGCTGTTCTGCTGATGCCAATGCAATGTGTTGTACACATGCAAGTGTAAGTGAGATGTATATATTTTGTACGGATTAAATTATGTTATTAAACCGCCAGGAATGGACATGGCGACTTTATCAGTCACCCCCCCTCCACTGCCCCCTCCTTGGCCTGCAGCTGTGGCAGGATAACGGAGCCTAACTACTTCGCCAAGTTCTCCAGTTCAGTCTTCTACATGTCCAGTGTTGTAAATGATGATGTAAATAGCCTTTGTTTTAACAGTGTCCTCTACAGCTGATTAGTTTCATTTTGAAGGACTTTATGTTTTACCATCCACCACAAAAAAATAGATACAGATGGAGCGTTAAGTATTGAAATAAGAGAATATTATTGCTTCCGTGCTGAAGGAAGAAGACCTTTGTATGATCAATAAATTATTTAACATATTTTAAAAATGTCTCGGTAGATTTCACTTCATTAAAACATTGTCTCAATGAATGATACTTGCTAGGATTTGCCATCACTGTATTAAAAAAGCAGCTTTTAAACTTAAACAAGTAATCAAATCTAATAAATTAAAAATGTAAAACACGAATTCAGTTCAGTGAATTCAAACTTTCAAGTTAACCAGGTTATGTACCTTTTTAAAGCTGCTTGTTTTTTGTTTTTTGTTTTTTTTTAATACAGTGAGCTAAATTTGCTCAAGTGGGAAAAATGATTTGACAGCCTCTCTTGCTTTTATAATCGGGACTGATCCTACATCATGCTAGCATAATTTAGCAGCTTTATATTATTTATATTATAAACTGTATACACAGCAAGCTTGTTTCATAAAATGTGTTACACAGTAAGTTGAAATTGATTTTATGGTTTAAATGTGTTCGTTGTGCAGACCGCAGGGTGGGACTATTACAGCTGTACTACAAACTGATGGATAATTACCTTTTTAAAAACTTTCTGCATTGAAATGTAAAAATACTGTAACATTTGCAACAAATTTGCACGGCCCATTAAAGCCAGTCATAGTGCAACAGGTTATGAGATGCTATGTGAAATGGTTGAATCTCATAAAAAGGTAACGACAAGCAGGCGCGGATTTTTTCCTCTCACGGTTGCCATTTCGATGGCAAATGTATAGAACACGTATAGGTGAATGTATAGCACGGCTTTAGAGACGACGGCATTCACAGCCTGACTCACCGCTGTTTCTTTTAGTGGACCTGAAACATCAGCCTTTTAATGAAGCTCAACACGTTCACGTCCAAATTTAGAATGATGGAAAAACAACACGTAACTTACCCCGATTGGTCTAAAATGATCACATTTTGTATAGTTATATTTTGGACAAACATATAACAGTATCCATTCTTTTTTGATTACGTCAGTTTCATACTTTTATCTCTATCATATTCAGGTGTCCAGTTGTTTTGTTAAAATGAGTAGTGCCATCACTGAATTTAATACGATTAATTTCGTATAAAAACCAGTTTTTAGCTGTATGGTTTGATTAATTCGAAAAAAATCGTCAGGTTTGTGTCAAGGCTCCGACAACATCTGAACTAAAGGGAATAAAATAAACAACACTGTGGGCAATAATAGGTTATGTTAACTTCGTTTTTCGCCGCAAATACAAACTAAAAGAAACACTGATCTAGGATGAGCTTAAGCTTTCTATCGAACGCTGAATAAGATTCCATGTCCTGATCGTAGATCAGTGCTCTTACACTGAGACGTCTGATCCATGTTGGCCACTGTTCATAACGCTGAAGAGCATCTATTGAGCTTTTCGATTTTCTCACACAAATCGGGTCAAAAGCTATTCAGATGACTGATAAGCGAAACAAAGTGCATTTCACGCATTACAATCGTTACACGAAACCAATTAGTGACTGAGGCCGCGGGCTAGCCATGACTGGTCATCTTATTAGCCCGATCTTGCAGAAATCAGGACACGAGGCCTGCACGTTGGGTGTTCCGGGCAGCAGATTAGTGTGCGTTTAAGACGGGCGATAGCAGCAGAGCAGTAATAAGACACAGGCAGTCACTCAGGTCTAATGGGTTTTTATTGCTTGAGGAGGTCACGGCATCCACGGAGCTCCATTTCTGTGTGCTTTACAGGAGGCAGTGAGCGAAGGAAGAAGAAAGAGTTAACGTTTAACGAGCAGGTTCGTCTAAGCACATCACTGCCGAGACCACACAGGCTATCGTTCCCACTTATGGTGATTTAAATGAGAAAGAATAAAATAAAATAACACAAACAATCCATCATCAATGTAACGGCTCCACAGGATCCGTGAACTCTGTAGTGTAGTACATTGAAATCAAGAGAAAGAAACGTGGCGGCCGTTTCCTCAGCAGCCTCTGCTACTCAAAGCACTAACGAGGCGATGATCTGCAACCTAGCAAGCAAGCCTACATGGGCAATCCAAAAGATCTTCTCTCTGTGTTTTTAAAAGAGGTGGGTAGTAACTAGTTACGTTTACTTCGTTTCATGTAAAAAGGTGGTTCAAGGGTTCTTTAGTACAAGGCAGTGATTCTACTGAGAACTATGAGCGCTATATAGAACCATTTTCTGCTTAAATGGTTCTGTACACGGTAAAATCGCTCTTCAGATTGATGGAGAACGTGTTGTACAGGTATAAAACCTTGTTGTAAATGGTTCCATGTAGCACCAAAAAGGGTTCTGCTATTGTTATGGTGTTGAGCTTGTTACAACAGAAGAATCCTTTTTTGGTGCTTTACAGAAACATTTTCAAAACTTTACTTAAGAACCCCTCAAAACCATCTTTTATGTGTGTCGAGTAGTACTTTGATAAATCTGTACTTTCCTGAGCATTTTTAATTATAATACTTTCACTTCCGCTCGAGTATTTTTGTGGAAGGAATCTTTTTACTCAGTTCTACTTCAGCCTTTAACATTCAGTTACCAATTCCTTTCTGTTTTATTTTATTAAGCTAGGTTGGTAACATCATCTGTACTGTTTTACTCTGAAGTTTGAGGTTCAGCTTGTTTAGGCCCATTAGGACCCCAAAAAGAGAACAGAGAAACCTCAGTTCCTATGCTAATAGATGCTGTATGTAGTAAGTTGTTCCACTGCCGTTCTATTAGCTACTCAGTACTTAAGTAGTTTTTTAACCTGCTACTTCTCTACTTCTGTTTGAAAGGTACTTTTCCTTCTACCCGAGTCATTATTTCATAGAACTGACAGTACTTTGCTTTAGTATGGAATTAGGCTACTCTACCCACCTCTGGTTTTCATTTAGAGCCTTGTCTTCCTACCCCACTGCACAAATGGCATGTTAACCCACACTCAGATCTGTGTACAATACTTGGCACCATGATGCAGTAACAAAAATAAAGAAGAAAACAAAAGTACATTTTTTAAAGATACCCAAGCCTACCTAAAACATCACATTCAGAACCGTAATATTATTACACAGAAATAAGTTAGAATAAGAATAATAATGAAATAACCAAGTGAGACTGCTATATGAAACAATATCTTATATACTTTGCATGGTCTTATGGCACTGGTTAAAATAGCTTTGATAGGCTATATAAGTCATATGACTGAAAAAGGTGCACTTCAGATGATGTTTTTTTTTTCCTTTCTTGATATAACTATTCAGTTGTGTTGGCTGATAGAACACCCAAAGCAGCTGTCTCGTATTCGTATTTCAGCATAACAATTTTGGTAAGAATCATAAATTATCTCTTTAAAAAGTACAGTAAAAAATGAGACTCGGCGGATGTCAGAGGCATGGCAGTGTGTGTTACGCACACGAGTCAGCGACAAATCAAATCATCCAAAATGGAAAAAAGAAAAGAAAAAAGAGAAAGGAAAATAATGCAATTCTTTCAAATGAACTGAAAATACCTATCTAGTCTAACACAGGGTGACCACAAAATCTGGTCAAAGAGAAGGAAAAACAGCACTAAAAACCATCAACACCACTATGTAATAATCCAATGTACAAATAAACCTAACACTATACAAATACAACAACTTTTTTTTGCATTGCACTTTTTAAAACATCTTACACATGATATGGAAGTAGCTCCTATAATGTAGAGGCATACCTAAAAATTGCAAGTATGGTCTTTAAAATATGTAGTACTTCTCAATTTCTATTAGAGTTTTGGCAACAAGGCTATGACATGTAAGAAGAGTTGTCCTTTGTGTTGTCTTGGTATTCTGAGAGAGGCCATGGAAGTTGGAAGGGATTGTCCATCGAGAGAGTGTCCCAAATTAAGATTGCATTAGCAGTGTGTGAGAGTATGTGTCCATGTATGAACTGTGAGTGTTCTTGATTGTGGGTCCTTGATTGTGAAGAACGCATGGATACAATCTGCCATTTCTATTGGCGTGACGGCATGCACTTGTTTCACTACGACTGGTCAGTCCTGCTGAAAAGTCTTAACTGGGTCTTCTGTGAGTGAGTGTGAGTGTGTGTGTGTCTGTCCAACTGTCTCAGAGTTTCTCACAGGGGCGCTTGTCATGAAATCCTCTCCACCCTTTGGCACCATTTCCCTGGTCAATCAAGGCACACACACATTCACACAGTGTGAACACAAGGATTTTACAAAGACCTCTAACAGTAGTAGTATAAAGCGATAGAAAAATGATTAAAAAAGCAAAAATAATAATAAAAGAAAATATTTACCACATCACTGCACGACACAACACTTGTGCTTATGTGCATTAGGTTTACCTGCCCCCGTTGTTAATCGAAAGGACAGGAAAACAGGCTGCAAAATACACACACACAAAACATAAATCAACACTTACTCTCTCACACACAGATACAACATCCATCTGTATACAGTGTCCATTCCTATTTCCAGTGGTGACTATTGATCTACCCCTTCAGCTCACGCCATAAATGTCAAAATTCTGTTAAAAACGAGGAAAAACATGAGTGCATATTCCTGCTATGTGATTCGAATAGTTTGTTCGCGTTATGTTAATGGTGACTCACAATAACATTTTTGGCAATTCTAAATCAAACAGAGACATATGAAGCTTGTAAAAGACAGTAACATATTCTACCTTGTGTCAGTTTCATAATGATACTTTAAGTGAAGAGCTGCTGCCGCTTTCCATTTTTTATACAACTGACAAAAGCACTGGTCAGACTACCACTAGTATTCACAGTCAGTCATGGACTTCCAAAAGGCCTAAAGTGATGTTCTTCCTCACAAAACACATCAGACCTTCAGTTAAGCTTCTGAAGTCTCCAATGAGAGAGTTACTTAGATAGAGCTCTAACAGATGCCCTGCAGTCTTCAGGGTTTTACATATAAGAGCTGACTTGGGGTCTTGTTTGATTTAATAATTAAAGATAGTTTTAAAAAGTTATAGAACACAAAAAATCTTTAAGGAAAAAATATAAAAATGTTTATAGTATTTATAGTTAATAGCATTTATAAATAATATTTCACTTGAAACAACATGTAATGACATTTAAAAACTTTTTTCCATGTCCTGTGGTCTTCACTGCTTTGAAGCACCTTGGCTGAAGGAAACTTCAAAATAAAGCTATTGGCAAGAGATCTTATTTATTTGAAATAATTTAGACGTGATATTTAGTTAATAAAAATTACATTTTAAGTTAGCTAGTTAAATCATAGGGAATAGTCAGGTTGCATTGTTTCTCACAAATTTTTCAAGTCATGTAGTTTGAAACTAAATGCGTGAAAAGATTCAGAATGAGGACCTGCCTGTAGAATACGACCCCTGACTTTGATGTCCTACATAAAGTGACGGACGATACCCAATTATACAGTATTGAGAAACTAACAACCAATCAACTACCAGCTTCAGTGGAGGAGTATACATGGTGGCCAATCAAATTTCTGTGGGGATTGGTGTGACCCCAGGCACCCCTAGACACACCACTGCCTAGGTGATGAATCATAATGCTCCCACAATGTCATTTGGACAGCTTTCTCTCCCACACACAAACATATTCAGAGATAAAGCACAAAGACAGAGAATACACACCTTGTGGTCCCCCATACAGACATTAGGTCCAATATTGTCATAGGTTATCGATTTCTCATCAGTCTCTGGCTGTGAACAATACGAAAAACAGGAAAACAATTAAAAAGCCAGTAAAGTAAAAACAGTAAATGATAAACGCATTAACTGAGGAGTTTAAAGGGCTTAAACAAGCAGATATTTTCTTCTTTGATAAATGGGTTTTTGAATAAAATGAACAAATGAATGAAAACCGTGGTTATTTTGTTTATTGAACAAATAAAGAGATTACCATAACTGAGAAGAAAAAAATAAATACCAAAAAAATTAAAATACATTATGTTTAGTATGTCAGTCCATTTATGTCAGTAGATCTCGTTCCATAAAATAGAAAGTAGAGAATGTTTGTATGATTTAGATTATGGTTTTCTAGCTGAACTAAAGGCTTTTTGAATACGCTCATGCTCAGAAAGTAGAACATTACAGTCAGCCTGTCTGAGTTTGGTGAGGTGTGCTGCTGCTCAAAATAAATGACAAAAGACCAAGAGAGCTTCGGAAATGGTATGATTTAGGTGTGAAAAATAATTTCTGAATGAACTTCAAACCAGTAACAAAGAAGCGTACAGGTCAACCTTGCACTTGCACACACGGACTACCTTTCCATCTCAGGGTTACGTTTCAACCTCCCCACGTGCACGCGCCACCCTGAGCCTCTGCCTCCCACAGCCCAGATACATTCATCAAAAAGAGACTTGATAATTTACAAAGGCAGCATAAAATTGTGGATTTTCGGGCTGCGTAATCTTTAGACAGATAAACAAATGACAGTGGGGGCCGTAGCTGCGGCGGCGTGCGCTTGACTGAGCCTTCATTACGGTGTGGAGCAGGGAAGCTGCTCAGGCTGCCGCTGCCGGCAGACCTGCGGCGTGTTAGGGCTCGGCAAGCAGAAAATAACACGGCACAGAGTTAACGGAGCACAGCATGATAGATGACGCTGCGTACGGCGCTGTTTACGGGCCCATGTCTCAACAATCTGTAACGCTTATGCATTACAGAGCGAGAGAGAGAAGAGGAGGGGGCAGTACACCAGAAGCTTATTGAAGATATCCAAATTAAGTATTAAGGGAGTGTGCCTGGGCCCCTTAATGGGTGTTAAGAAAACAAAGTGTGGCATTAACTGGCTGGCTCTCTGTGTGCATCTGTGTTTCTGTGATGTAACCCTCCTTCTTTTTTGATAATACTGTGACACTACTCCGCTCACAAGGACTCAATGCATAATAATCAGTCACCTGCCTCTTGCCTGCAATTGGTGGATTTGCGTGTCTGTCTATATTTTATGTGAAACTGACCAATGGACACTCAGGAAATCACTAATCACTACCCATCTCATCGAAAACCTTTCATTTTTCATTCAGTTGCCTCAGACACAGACGTGAAATAGTGTATACATACTCTGTACAAAGCGGTTTGGAAAGCAGTGATGAGGATAACATATATCTCTATTTTATTCATACATTCCACGACTTCTGTGAAGACTTTGGTAAACCCATTTCAATTACTAAAACAATTCGTCCACATGAGTAAAGCTATGTTTTCACAAGAGATAATAAGAATTGGTTTTAGAAATTCTTCATAAGAATTTCTAAAACCGGACTTCACTTTTTCAGATTTAGGGCCGAATTATCACAGTACTCTTGGTCAAAAGGGCCTCAGTATAGAGAGAGATGATATACAACATGTGGGTATCATGTCATATGTCTTTAAAGGCGCATTTAAGAATACATGCTAAAATCAAGAAAATGCCCTTAGACCCCAGAGCGTTAAAGGGCCCATTTCCTACAGGTCCACTTACGATGTTTGTGTAGGTTTATGTACCAAAAACTTATAATTAAACTGCCTTTAAGACTGATATATGTAAACAATCTCTGTTCTAATTGTCTGCACTCCAGCAAAAGCAGTCCAAGTTGAAACACTTCTTATAACGTCAAAGTGAATGGGGAAGGGCTAACCTGGTACAGACAAGGTTTGGTTTTACTGACCTCACAAAAACAATAATTTCAAAACAGACTTAATTTATATATATGGTCTGACGTGAGAGATTAACAGCTTTTATATAATATATTAAATTCCTTTATTTAAAAAAATAAGGAAAATGAGCCCATTAAACAGTAAGAAAGTCTGAAGTCCTTTACATATGATGGCACAGCTTGTCACACTTGGTGTCATGGCAAGTAAAGTGCTAAAAGGCTCCTTTTATTTCACCATGTATTAAAAAAAATTCTGGTGACATTTATGATAATATGATAATTATTATATTTCTTGTGTAATCTCTTTAATATTACTATTTGCCAAACAGCCCCTTACACATAGACAGTGGTACAAAGCAAAGTTATTCCTGTGTAAAAATGTCATCCACGTGACATTACTGCCAAACCAATCACCGCATTTGAATGGACAGTTAAAGCCAGAGAGAGAGAGAGAGAGAGAAAGAAAGAAACAAAGAAAGAAAGAAGAAAGAAAGGAGAGAGAGAGAGTGAGAGAGAGACAGAGAGAGAGGGGGGGAGATGGAGAGAGAGAGAGAGAGAGAGAGAGAGAGAGAGAGAGAGAGGTGCAGATAGATGGATAAACAGATTGGAGTTTACTGTTCTGGTGAAGGTAAGCATGGCTCTTGCCCTGAGAGAGCAGCCAGAGGGACAGAGATCTGCCCAGCTCTATGGAGACTTATGAAGCTTTATAAAGCAGATATGCACGCCTGGCACTCTATAAGAGCAGGCCTGAATATACTGCCAGTGTGGACTATGAGCTTAGCATGGCAGATGAAAGCTTACACATACAGCACCAGCTCCATCTGTGAGCCTGGCACAGTATGGATAACCAAAGAAGAGACAGAGAAAAAGAGTTTGTGGTGAGGGAAATATGGAAAAGCACAGGGATGCAGCTAGACAGACCAAAGTTAAGGAGTCAGAATAGTAATACTGTTTAAACTGATTTCACTGACTGAGAGGACAACAAGCCCTACAATCTCACAAAAATCATGCTCACTAAAATCACTTTCAAAATGTACTGAGGTAAAGGATGAGGATGGGCAGAGGTAAAGAGGTGGCTAAAACAAGACAATCAATCTAAAAACTGTGTTCTGGTTTTACTGTGGTTAACTTATTATTTAATCAATGTAAGTGTGCTTACACTGTGCTTCTGGTATAATTTAACAATCTAACTTTAATGAAAATGGGTAAAATAAATGTACTCATGTGATCCATAACATCAAATTCTCCAATGTCTCATGGTGTGAAGTACATTGCCAAATATGAAAAATTATAAAAAAAAAACAAAAACAAAACCTGGTTAATTATATTCCAAATTCAATGTATATTACCATATCTGAGAAGAAACAATAAGGTAGTTTGTCTATGACAGTAGATTTAATTCAATAAAATGATACAAGAGCTGTGGCTGCATGGTGTATTTGTAGTTAGTTTCAAGATTAAGTGTATTTCAGGTGTAGTTTACACTGGACTGACCTTTAAGACCAGGTCTCTCGCAGATGTGGACATGAGGATGCGGTCACACCAGGCAGGGCATCGCGTATTCATGTACTGCTTGCCCTGACTGCAGTCCTCACTGTATGGATAGCTGCAGACACACAGACAACAGTACTGTATTAACAACTGTGTTGATGATATTTTTCATTATTGCATCGTCACTGCTGTGAAATATTTATGGAAAAGTCTCAAAAACACTCAAAAATTGATCAGCAATTATATAAACATACCAAGATCTCCCAAATTAGCTTCCATAAATTTAAAAACATGCCTCATTTTGTGCAAGTGGTCAAAAGGCTCATACTTGAAAGTCCATGTCTATGTATGAATTTATGCCCCCCCCCATGCCTAGAGGGACACTGAAAATCATATAATCATATAAAATAATAATCTTAGGGTGCTGAGCTTAATCAATGCATTAAAATGAACAAAACTGATGTGAATATCACTGAAAAAACAATTCAATTAGCAGAAAGCTGCTAGGAGACAAATATGCACTTGCTTAGGCCAATTGGCCATGAAAGGCACACAACAACACACGGACAGCTACGATAGCTAATGCCACTCATTTAACTAAAGGTAATCGGCTCCATAAACAGCGACCTGGCAACAGCTCATCTGCCGCAGCCTGGCTCCTCCACAGCTGTCACAAACGCACCACAATGTTGGACAGCACCATGGAGATCGCAAACCCAGAAGGGTCAGAGGTTTGGTGAAGGTGAGGACTGGAGGGCGGGGGCCAAGTTAGCCCACATCCGGCTAGCACACAGACCCCTGACCGGGTGACCAAACACCAGCCGGCAAGGGGGCTTTGCAGAGGGCCTCAGTGCAATTAGCATTGATGGCACTTTAAACATGTGGAAATGAAGGAGGGTTTTGGTATGTTAAGGAGGCAGCTAAACAGATGATTCCCTGGATTAAAGAGATGAGGAAGAAAAAGAGTGCATGATACAGAAGGATAGAGAGAGGGGAAAGGAGGATAAAAAGGATAGAGATGCAGGGAGTGGGAGGGGGGTTTTCAAAGTGACCGCAGCCCAGTCTTTCTTCAGGCTGGACCACACAACCGCCACAGGAAGTTTTAACAGCAGTCACTGAGGCTGATCAAGCGGCCTCTCAGCTTAAGAGCTGAAAAGCACCCTGAAAAAGGCCCTAACTCTAGCTGAATCTCCATTTGCTAACAATAAGAGAATTTAGTATGAAAGCAAATGGAGTTCAAAGATCTCAAATCTGTAAAACTACCCAATTTAATCTCTCTAAATCAATTTAAATCATTTGCTTTGTAAAGCTTTGGAAACTTTGTCACCAACTCACAAGTGCACTTGTGCATGTAAATCTGACTTTTCAAGTATGGACGATACGTTCACATCCTTTAACTTTTAAACTTACTATAGCATTTTTCTATTTTAATGTGATGGAAATGCCACACTAGAAATTAAGCTGTGATCTGTGTTGAGGTTCCCTCAATAAAGAACCATTATAACTGTCCAGTGACAAAAACTGTAATAGATGCAATTCATATCCACGTATGTCTTTCTGGAACAATGTAGTATAAACACTGTCTGATCTCCTAAATGTTGATATTGATTTACATCCAAGTTTACTTTTATCTTTTATTAGGCAATGACTGTAACATAACAGTCTGCAGCAAAAAAAAACAAAAACAAAACAAAAAAAAAAACAGCTTTCAAAAAATCTATTTTGAAAGGTTGATTGGTGCCAGATACTCAATTATCCTCATTATTCTTATTTTTGAGCAGGCCATGGCCAGGTTTGCTATAGACCTTTGTTAAAGACCTTGTAAGACAATTTAATATCTCATCTAAATCTCATTATTACTATATATTGCTGTATATGTGTGAGTGTGTCTGCCAATTTTTGTCTGTGCTTGATTCTGAAAAAAAAAAACTAAACTAATAAATAGTTACAATAACAAAAGAACCATTACATAGAGTTGTCACACAGTGAGAATCAATGGTTAGACAGAATTTATACTGCTATTTATAGATAGTGAGGTTGAATTCTATGGTATCATTTACAGTAGATCAAGATAAAAATGAACAGTGACTCAGTAGAAAAAAGCAAAAGTAAACACTTTTAAAACTAAATCTATTCAAAAGATCTATCTCTCTATGCACATGTTTGTGTGTTGGAATTTATTTCATACTTGTTTAATCTAAAACTGTATTCACACACTCTTTTACCAACACACTGTGGCAGAGATTCCATTTGACTGTCCACTTGTATAGGCTGCCCTCTTGGTCTCTCCCTCTCTCTCTCTCACAGTCACACACACACACATACACACACACAGGCATGCACATGCACAGTCTTTCTCTGACAGAGCTGATCTAGATTACAGTTCTCTAATGCAACAGCAAACAGCAGTGCGGTGCACAGCAGGGCGAGGTGATGGATGTGGGTGATTAGCACACACAAACGTATCTGCCAGAGTAAACTCCAGGCCTGGGCGTGCGAACCGGAGACCGTCAGTCGCTATCAGGCCCTTATTGCCCATGGCAAGACTAATTACGCTAATTAATGGGCCTGCAGCGATAAACTCAACAATCACCCACCTGTGTCTGTGGGACAGAGAAAAGAAAGAAAACGAAACAGCAAACAGAGAGAGATGCAGGCAGCTATATAGAGCGTCACTGTCCACAAGAACATGCTCTAGCTCAAGGAGTTTGTCCACCATTTCAGATCAGAATGTACACTTCCTTGGTTAGAAGCAAGTGAACGCCACTCTTGAACACAAAGCTGCCAAAAGGGGTTCTCTGGAATGATGCCATAGAAGAATCACTTTTGGATCCTTACAGCAGATCCTTACACCAGTCCTCTGTAGTTACTTGAACTGGAGATGAAAATGACTGACAGCCTACCCTACCTACTACCTACCTATCACACCTACCAAAATCCAGGACCAGAAATTGGACTCAAGGTTAGGATTTGAAGACTCCTTTTCTATGGCATGGCTTTGAAGAACCTTTTTGGCATTTGTTTTTTAAAAGAATAAATGTATAGAGGTAATGTGATATGTGCATGTGTTGTAAGAGAACCAAAGTGCCTCAGCAAATAGCTCTGAGGTTTAGGGTCTAAAGAGGCCTACTTTTGAAAAAAGAGGAGCCCCATCTTCCTCCCCTAGTCCCCAGAGCACTTAGTGATTCCTCTCTCACTGTGACTTTAATGTTTGACTGACTCCTGACATTATTCACCAGATTTGCTCTTAATGTCACTGCCTTAGGCCTGCATGTCTGAGCAGCATGGGGACGAGAAGAGTCCTGTGAGTGTGTGCACACACGTGTTTGAGTGTGTGTACCTCTACAGGCTTTTCTGCTGCTTTTGTCCCTCAAGGTCCGGTCATGTGACTTTGCTACAGCAACCAAGCCCCCTGTCAACACATCTCCTATCAGAGCCCTAAGAGCTGTTATCTTGTTCTACATAATGACAAATAAGTGACAAGCCAAACACTGCCACACTGAGACAGGCTGTGTGTAATGAGGGCAATATAAACTGGCGAATACAGACAAGGGAAGGGGGGTTGATAAGAGTCAAGCTATTAATGAACCAAGGTCAGGGGTTACGAACTGTACTAAGGAGTGGAAGTCACCTGACGCGGCTTTGGCACTGGGATTGGTGGAAGTTATTGGTGTTGTCAGTAAAAGGCGTAGCTGTGGGATGAGGCTGGAATGCTCTCGTTGAAAAACGAAGTGTTTGCTTGCTGTCGTCAGGGGAGTGAAGAGAAAAGAAGAGTGCCCGCCGACACAAACGTGCACACACATTCATTCACAAAATATTCAGTGCCTTGTATGTTTGTCAGCAGAAGTGTGTGAGAATATCTTTTATTATAGTAACCTCAACTCTTACCAATTATTACCTCTAATTATCCCTTTAAAGCAATGGTTTGGTCAAAAATCTAATTTACACAATATTTTCTGTGTTTACCCCAAACATAGTCTTGCAAGTCAGACTTCTGCCTATCATCATATAGACTCACTTCACAAAGGGGGACACTTAGGGAGATTTTCAAAACAGGTTTACTGTAAAAACAAACCCACAGGAAACACATAAGTAGGCAAACATGCCATGCTTAAAAGCTACCAGAAGCTTAAAAAAGCTTCCGTATAACCTTTAAAGACATTACTTCACAAACTTTTTTTATCCAGCATCATGCTGCATGCAGAGGGGGTCACTGCTTGCAAAGTTTGTTTCCCATTGGACAGATAAACTCGCTGTTTGGAAGTGTGTTCACACTGATGTGAGGGTATGCGAGTGACAAAATCCAGATAGCCGCGGCCAGCTTAATGTGCAAAAGATATCAGATGCTCAGATTACATGTAGGTGGAGCATCTAAGGCTTAGACTTCCTAAAATGTAGTCAAACAGGTAAGACGGTTAGTGTCCGAAGTTCGCTTCTTTAGTTTTGCACTGAATCTAGGAGGCTAATCAAGCTAACAGGTAATTTAAAACACATAGCCATCACCTGAGTATTGTGTAAACTGCATGTCTAATTAATCATCAAACAAATCATGTCAATCCATGTCGAGTTGTTAAGTAATCTCAAACAGACCTGCTTATGTGGCTTCTGACATAGTATATTACATCGTAATGTATAAAAACTGACCAAAGTATGAACAACATACAGTTTCCATTCATTGTTAGCTACAATAGCCTTGAAGCTCCAGTGTAAAACCAATGAAGTTTGCACACCAAAAATGCCTTGGCTAATCAACTACATTTGGGATTTCTGGCAAAACCATCACTTTAAGGGCTTTCCATTACAAGACAAAAGGCCATGAATACTCATAACACAGCTAGGCTCAAGCAGTATGCTCTTCATTAACCATCCCCCATGTCCCATGTGCTAAACAAAGGATCCCTTTCAGGAGTGTCAGAACACAGAGACAAATACAAATGGACTCATGTCCATTTGACCTGACTTGCCATTGCAGAGCTTATAGACGTCTTAATGTTCCTTACTGACTGTAATGATTAATGTGATGGCACTTAGAATTCAGCTGTCACTCTGTGGTTGATGGGTGTCCAGCTGCACTGAGACAGTAGCCCAGATACCACATCTGATTCTTTCTGTTAA